TTTTGTGCAAAAGTGACTGCTTTTGTGCAAAAACTTGCCAGCTGTCTACACTGGCCACTTGAATTTGTGCAAGAACACTGACATTCTAATGTAAGAATTCAGTGCTTCTTGCGCAAGTACTTTGACGCTCCCGCTCAGGGATAAGCCCTCTTGCGCAAGAATACGTGCGCAAGAGGGCCAGAATACTTGCGCAAGAGGGCCAGTGTAGACAGGCACCTTAATTTTTTGCACAAGAAAGCCCGATGGCTAAAATGGCATCAGAGCTTTCTTGCACAAAAGCGCATGTATACTGAGCACGGATGCTTTTGCGCAAAAGCACTTTTTGCGCAAAAGCATCCGTGCCAATCTAGGCGCTCTTTTGCGGAAATACTTTTAACGGAAAAACTTTTCCGTTAAAAGTATTTGAGCAAAATCATGCCAGCCTAGACGCAGCCACACACTCTGTCTCTTTCTCACATCAATGTTATATTCCATGGTCTGTGGACTGATCATGGGCCGAGGAGCTGGGGTCTATTGGTCTGGGCTGATGCTCCAGTCATGGCAGAACACCACTGCTCTTAAAGCAAAACCGTTCTCCTTTTATAATAGTTCTTTCCCACCAGAATCAGTGGGTTTTGCATCATCCTGCTGTTTTTCTGACAGATGTTTAACTGCAGTTGTTTCTCTTGCTCTTTATCTTCTTTGTTCTGACACACTAAGCTGGTTTTGATCACAAATATTTTATCCTAATTGATAAGCGCTTGCCTTCTTTCAGAGGTGTCGATTTGCCTACTACTGCTTACATCTCAATGGGGCTATACAGCAATTGTCAGCATCTCTGTCTGTTCTTGGCTTCTTGCTTACATCTCAGTGGGGCTATACAGCAATTGTCAGCATCTCTGTCTGTTCTTGGCTTCTTCCCGGAACATTTGGTCCAGTGGCCTTCGCACTTATCTCTCTCTCCTATGTAACAAGGCTGGGGGTTGATTTCTTGGTTATAGAGAAGCAATATGCACATTTGAATGAGGACATCAAATTACAATTAAGTAATAGGGGATGATTTTTTTCACAATACTAATCTTAAAACTTAAAGGAGAATTATAAAATTCTATCCCTGCCTTGAAATCCGCTTTAAACAGAAAATTCTGTCTGGGGCACTTTACCAATGGTCCTTTCTGCTTTCAGAAGGGGTGGCTGGTAAAGTACACTGAGGCATATTACTTTGCATAAAGCTACATTTTAGCTACATGGCTACAAAGAGACTGGGGCAGCGAGTACCTGGCCCAGAGGGTGTTGCCACTGCAGAGGTTTAGGACAGTACTGGGCAACCCCCCATCATTCCTTATACAAATCTGCATGTCTAATGGGAGGGGGGGTCACTGACCCATCCCCAGAACACAGGGCAGGCCCAGGCTCACCCTCGCCTGTATTGGGTGGCCTCCATGGGCCTGTCCCTGCCTTTTTCAGAACATCCCCATCTGCATCATTCTGTGTGGAGGTGCCACCCCCCTGCCATCCTCACAGGGGTCCTCCTGCATCCTCAGTCTCCTACTGTCCCTTTTTCACTGGACGAAGTTACGTCTAATGCTGAGTTGTGCAGGACAGGGAGAGAGTGCCACAGAGGACGTCTGTGATTTGTATCACTTAGTTAAACCTTCTCTAACATGTATTGATTTTACCCCTCTCATGTGACCCCAGTGCCCCGTTACAGGCTGTACCACCAAGCCATTCATAAATACCAGTAAAGGCTGGTGATAATTGAGATCTCTCACTAATTACAAAAATACCTGAACCTGAATGTGTCACAAGTTGTCTCACACTCCCAGTCTGCATTAATAACATTTCACCTCCTTGGTGGGCCCTGTTGTCACACAGTGACTGAGACCAAGTCCCTTGGGTTTGAGTGGGAAAATGCCCCATTCCACACCCCTCTCAGCTCTCACGATGAAACCTCCCAACTTATTTCTGTTTCTTCAGGGAAAAATCCAGGCCCATTTGAAGACCCTGAGAGAAGAGAGAGAAAAGCTGCTGGGATGGAAAGCGACAGGAGAGGGGAGAAGCCAGGAGTATCTGGTAGGTGCCTGTGGTTATGGACCGGCAGGGACAGGCAGTGGGAGGGCTGGCTGGGGCTGGACTCCTCTGTGGCCTTGGAATGGTGAGATACGGAGTTTCTCCATGACCATAGATTGCTGGATTAGAGCCATGTGTTGACAGGCCCTGAGCTTCCATTGCAGGGGGTGAGTTAATATCCAGCTCTTACGGCTCTCCCAGAAATCCTCCCCTAGTGTCTCTGGGAAGGGCTGCTTGCTGTGTCTGCTCATCTCCCGCATTAGCATCTTTGTTTCTTTTTTTCTCCCCTGCTGTTTCTGTCTCTATCTACACTACAGAGTTTTCCTGGAAAAACGGCCATTTTTTTGGGAAAAACTTCACTTATGTCTACAGTGCAATCATGTTCTTTTGAAACAAATCAAGAGGTTTTTCCAACATTGGTAAACCTCTTTCTACAAGGAAGAAGCCTTTTTCCAAAAAGCTCTTTTAGAAAAAGGCATGTGTGGACAGGGAAGAGGGAGCTCTTTCGAAAGAAGAGGAAAAAGCCCAGGTGCCCTGGTAGCTATTCCATCCATAGCAATCACAGCTTACATGCAAGAGAGCACCCACCACCTTTCGAAAGAGCAGATCTTTTTCAATGTGCTTTGGCAGTGTGGACATGCTCTTTCAGAAGAATTTTTTTCAGAAGTTCTCTTCCAGAAAAGCTGCTTCTGAAAGTAGCTTGCAGTCTAGACATAGCCTCGGTGTGGTGCTGAGCAGCGTTCCTAGTAAACTGGGCACTTGGGCCGCAGCTCAGGAGGGAGTCAAATGCTGCCCAGCTGATTAGCAGAATGTCCACAATTAGGTTTTGTTTCTACTGGCCATGCACGTTTCAGTGGATGAGTTAATGTCTGTCCTTGAGGGCTTTCAGAGAGCTTCTCCCTGCTGCTCTCTCAGCTCCTCATGAAAGAGCCCCAGGCTCCATCCATGTTCCTGACCAGCCCTTTTCCTGTTGTCACACAGAAACAGACACAAGCCAAGAGGCAGAAGATTGTGGCTCAGTTTCAGCAGCTGCGGCAGTTCCTGGAGGAACAAGAGCGACTCCTGCTGGCCCAGCTGGAAAAGCTGGACAACGAGATCGTAAATCTCCAGACTGAGGCTGTCAGGAAACTCTCCACGCAGATTTCCTGTCTCAGCGAGTGGATTGATGAGCTGGAGGGGAAGTGTCAGAAGCCAGCGAGTGAATTCCTGCAGGTGAGACTGAGGGAGAAACATCCCAGCTCCCCACTGAATCACAAGAGCTGGGGTCCAACCCTCCGATCTTGGTGAAGTCGGCATGTGCATTGCTGACACATGAGTGACTGTTGTGCTTTGCAGAGTTACAGGCACAGAGATCTTAGACATGGCAAAGCCCCATTCGCTCAGGGGATCCGTGGCCCTAGGGCCAGGGCAGGGAATCTGTCTGACATATTTACAAATTCCCTTCCATGTTGGATGAGTCCCCTTGTGTGTGTCAGATGGGACTTAGATGCTTTTCTCTCTCTCTCTCTCTCTCTCTCTCCAGGATGTGAAAAGCACATTGCGCAGGTAAGTGTCTCTTTCTCACTCTCCCTCACGCTTTCCAGCACTGGGGAAGAGATTAATGGTGATGTTTGCACCACATCTCCCCAGGGCCCCTACAGCCAGATGTAAGGGGAAGGTCACAGACTGGGGACAAATCTCCCTGAACCACTTTAGCCTAAAGGTCTTATCCCTGCACCGCAGACTCTGGAATTCTCCATTCAAAGGCACAGTCTGACCTCGAGTTTCCTGGAGCTGTCACCTTTGAGGGACTGGCTGCCTCAGGACTGTGGGGGTGAAACATGGGCCTGTTACTACTGGGCACCATTCAGCCCAGGGCAGCAGGGACCAAGAGTCTTTCCCATCTGAGGGCTGTTTGGAGACCTGTGTGGAATGGGCTGAGGAGGGCAGAGCTGGTGTCTCAGTCTAGTCCCTAATGGGCAGATTCTTACAGCTCTTCACCTGGGAACCTCCCATCCCTCAGCGCCTGGAGGCCAAGGAGAGAGTTGGCTGTGGAGACTCAGTTCCCCTTTTGTCCCCAGAGCTGGTCTTTCCAGGCCAGAAGTGAAGACTATTAATGGGACCTTTGAGGGGAATGTTACATGGCTATTGGCTGTGCTGCACCTGCTCTCAGGCTGGAAAAAGCAGAGAAATTCTAACTCCAGGCCCATTGGAGCAGCAACTCACAAGCCAACACTTGAGTCACTAAATGCAAATTGTTCTTGTCCAGGTGTGAGAAGGGGAGATTCCAGCAGCCAGAGAAGATTTCTCCTGAAGTGGAAAACAAACTCTGTGATTTCTCCCAGAAAACTGTTGCTCTAATGAAGACTCTGAGGAAGTTCAAAGGTACCGAGAAAGGATCTAGGAAGGGAAATCAGGATCTAGGAAGGGAAATCAAGATAAGCTTCTGGGAATGTGGGAGGAGAATGACTCTCGTCAATTGGTTCATAATTAGATTCTGGATCTGTTTAATTGTGAGGTAAGAATTCCACACTCTTGGGATACAAGCCACACAGGTTGCTTAATTTATCCCCTTATTTGTGTCATGTCTTGCCAGTGGACTTAATATTAAAGTAAGAAATGACTCATAGATTTTAAGGCCAATCTGACTTCCTGAATGTTGCAGGCCACAGAACCTCATCCACCCACCCCCGCAATGACCTCCAAACTCTGAGTGAATGACTGAAGCCCTCAAATGATTTAAGGACTTCAAGAGACAGAGAAGCTAGCATTTACTCTAGTTTAAATCTGCAAGTGACGTGCGCACCATAATGCAGAGGAAGGTGAAATGCCCCATGGCCTCTGCCAGTCTGACCTGGGGAAAGTTGTTTCCCAACACGAGATAGGGTGGCAGTTGGATGCTGAGCATTTTACAAGGCCCAGCTGCCAGACACTTGGCAAAGTATTGTCTAACTCAAAGCCCTCCCTGGCTGGTATCCCGTCACCAGCCACTGGGCATACTTGCTATTAGCAGTGGCTGATGGAACGAAGTACTCACTTGTTCCCTTCTCCTGGGGTGTAGGCAAGTCACTGGGAATTTCCTCTACGAAGCTCTGTCTTCCGCTTACAATATTAAGCATACTATACACGTCCGCATCATATATTTATGGATCCTTTTCTAATCACCTTTGAGTGCTAGCAACATTAGCTATCTTTTATCACTGACAGAATACATACACAGTAAATTATTAATTAGCAGGGATTTTATTGTCCACACTATTTTCATGTTGTTCTACTTTCTAATTTATTGATTATAATCAGTGATTACCTATAGGTCGTTTTGTCACTTTTCTCAGCACAGTGGTTTTGGATTTTGCAAATCACTTTGTGACAGTGCAGTTTGGGTGTGTGGTGTCTGTAAGCACATTGCATGTTCAATTCATCTCTCTGACCCCCAGAGCAACCGCTAAACAAATCACTTCATAACAAAGTCACTTCTGGTATCACTTCCCTTGCGATAAACAGACTGCTCACCAGGGCAAAGCCAAGTCACTCAGCATAAATGGGCAGTCTTGGGTTGTCCAAACTTATGAATAACAAGCGACCCTTGTACTAAATTCTCAGTATTCAATACAATAACTAGTGCAAAGCAGAGAAATGGAGCAGATGTAGCGGGGCCCAGGTGGCAGGGTGTCTCACGATAATTCCTGATTTTGCCAAAAGTCAATCTTCAGTCCCAAATTCAGCAAAATCCCTTCATTTGGGCACCTGTGTGTGTCCCTTCGAACTAGAGAGCTGCAGGGCAGGTGCCCCAGGGCTGTGCAGCCTCCACAGCTGCAGGTGGAGTCAGTGGGAGCAGCAGGGCCCCTAGGGTTGCCAAATGGTTTCAACAAAAATCCCAGACACACTTGACATTCCATCACAATCTACATCTTATTTAGAAAATACTGGACATTTCTATTTTCTTATTTCTATTTTCTCAATTTGTTTCCCCAAACAGAAAGCTCAAATTCTGGACTGTCTGGTTCAAAACCAGACACCTGGCAACCCTAAGGGCCCCAGCCCGCTGAGAATCAGGCCCAGGGGCCTAAAAGTGGACTCCCAAAGTCTAGTCCCTTAATTACAGGCCACTGGTTAGAGCTGGTCCCAGCCCCGCACTGAGCTCTGGTCCTGTCTGGCAGCCAGTTTGGGCCAAGGGGCTGCATGGAAGGAGAAAGCCCCTCCCCCATGGTGAGGGGTCCCTCCAGCACAGGAGCCTCTTGTGCCTCCTCCCCAGCAACTGCAGGCCCAAGGTGTGTCCCTGAGAGGGCTGGGGTAGGGTGGGCCTGGGAAGGGAGGGGAAGGGGCGTGTCCCTGACAAGGGTGGGGGGGGCAGGGGAAGAGGCGGGGGCACAGGCAGGACAGAGGGACATGGTCAGTGTAAAGTTGGGCCTCCGGCTCTCTGCGCCCTGGCCCAGGCACACGGTGCCTGTAACGGGGATGTGACTCTGGCTGGCGTCAGAACTGCCTGAGCCAACCTCGGCACTGGCCCCTGCAGCCACTGAACAGTGGGTCACAAATGGCCTCCCCTCTCTGCTTTTGCTAGCACAGGGTGAATCTGGCCCATGGAGCCAACCTTCCCCTGCCTCCGTTTCCCCTGGGATAAAATGATTTTATTGTTGTTCCTGTTGCTGTCTATGGAGGACGAGGCCCCATCGTGCTGCTCTCTGTAAACAGACCCCACCGCTCAACATTACAGCCAGGACTTTGACACTAGTAGGATGTTTAGAGTTTGCAAAGGGACCAAAGTTGGCATCAGAGTAACTTTTCCCAAGTCTCTGCAGGATCCAGGCCTAGGTTTTGACAAGAGGCAGTAAGTGAATGAGACCAACCCAGTGGACTCTGAAGGTTTCAGGGGATGTTAAGGAGAAAGCAAATCTCTTCATAGATTGTCCTGGGGTGGCTGCGAGGCTGCAGGGAGATTGGTTCCATTGCTGGGAGGTGCCTGACTAAGAGGAAGTAAAAAGCTTCAGACCTTTTTTACATTAAATAGCTGAGTGTGTCTCTGCTATAATGAAAACCCGGTCTATGTGTTAAGATTGGGGGTGTTGTTGGCAATATGGAATCCTGAAATCTCAGCTCTCTTATCCCTTCCCTCACCAGACATGCTGCCCTCTGCACTGAAGAGAGCAAGAGGAAAATACCTGGGAGCTTTCAGACAGGGTGAGGTTTCAAGTGGAAATAGTCTTCAAATGATGAGAAAATTCCAATGAAAGCATCTTCCTGCGATTGTAGCTAAAGTTACCAACCAACCCCACAATGACCTCAACACACCCAGCCCTCAAACTAACCCATTGATCAGTGAGAAGACTCAGGGGCCCTGCATTGGGAGACCAGAGAGCTGTGCCCTGCCCACTGTAGAAAGTTAGATGGCCTGACCCGCCTCTGCTTCTAGTTTGAGAAGCAGGGGGCCACACTCACCCCACAAACGGCAGGCCTGGAGCTTTGCAGACAGTAGTTGCACTATGTAGTGCAGCAGCTGATCAACTCCCTGTCACGAAGCAGAGCCCTATCCTGTCACCCCAACTTCTTCCCAGCACTGGCCCCTGTCCTCTTCCCCCCCTCCCCCAAGACCCTGTCCCCGGGCAGAATCAAGAGCCAGAACCAGGCTGCCCTGAAGAGCCCTGGATCCTCCACCAGCCCTTTGTGGGCTTTATGGGGAGTTGGGATGTGGGCTGGGGGCTACTCTCAGTCCTCCTGGATTCACCCAGGCCAGGGGGAGGGTCAGAGTCTCTTCACAGGGGTCAAGGCACCCAGGGGACGGGGCCATGAAGGTGGCAGCTTCACAGGTTGTGGGACCTCGTATCCTTCTCCCCTTGGCCAAATTCTACCCAGGTTCCGGAACCCCTGGGGGGGATCCCAAGTTGACGTCACACGAAGATGCCTGATGCCAGCAGTGGGGCTGAGATCCTGCCCAGGCTGCTGCACAGAAACCCACTCTCTGAGCAGCGCCCACATGGAGCTCTCTGCCCTGAGGCTGCCCCATCCCTCTGCTTCACCCCAGTGCAGGGGGCTCCCCATCGCTCTTCTCCCCCATCCAGCCTTTCCTCTGGGCAGGGCTGGGCTCTCCCATTGGCGCCGCTCCCTGTGATGCTAGAAGCTCCTCTCTTCTCTCCGGGCTGGGGCTGCCCCACCCAATTCCACCCCCTGCTCTCTGGGGTGAGGCAGCTCTTCCCCCGTGCTGCATCTTCCCCTCTGCACCCTGGCCTGAGAGTGGAGGCTGCAGTAGAGGGGAGGTATCATCCCACACAGGTTTAAAGGGGTCACCTGGCTCCTCTGTTCTTGCCTCACTAAACCCTTCCATGCTGGGGATAGAGCAGCCCGAGCTGGGGGAGCAGGAGGCCGAGGCCTTTGCAAACAAATGAGAAACTAATGAAGTGGGTCCCATTGCCCAGGCTAAGGCACTACAGTGACAGCTCGGCTCAGTCTCAGGGCCCAGGACAGAGGTGGCTCCCTGGGGCCCAGGCCTGTCCCCACCAGAGCAGGGCTGCTGGGGATGGTGATAAATGGCCCCAGGGCCGAGCTCTGCCCCTCATGCTCTGATTCTCTCTCCCCAGCGACTGTGACTCTGGATCCAGACACGGCCCATCCCCTGCTCGGTGTGAGCTGGGAAAACACACGGCAGCCACTGCCCAGCAACCCGGAGAGATTTGACTCTGAGCTGTGTGTGCTGGGCCGTGAGGGACTCACCTTGGGGCAACACTTCTGGGAGGTGGAGGTCGGGGGTGGGGAGCGCTGGGCTGTGGGGGTGGCCAGAGAGTCTGTGAGGAGGAAGGGACTGATCAGGCGCAGCCCTGAGGGGGAGATCTGGGCTGTGCAGCGGTTGTGGGGTCAGCTCTGGGCTCTCACCTCCCCTGCGACTCGCCTGTCCCTGCCCCGGATCCCCAGGAGGATCCAGGTTTGTCTGGACTGGGACCAGGGGCAAGTGATATTTATCGATGTTGCTAATGAGGCCCTGATCTTCACTTTCGCACCGGGCTCCCTCCCCAGGGAGAGAATCCGACCCTGGCTCTGGGTGGGATGGGAATCCCAGCTCAGCCTGCGCCCCTGAAATATCTGGGGAAGGGGCAGGTTTGGCTATTCCACTGGGAGCCCTGAGACCAGCCTCTCTGGCTCACACTCCTCAGTCTCTATCCCATCTCCATGTCAACTGTCTGTCCTGTCATCTTGGTGAGCCTGCAGGTTGCTATGGGTCTCAGTTCTGGGCAGCCTCTGGCCTGTCCACCCCAGGGAGCACTGAGTGAGCGAGGCAGAGATGCTGATCTCATGGCCCCAGGGTTTGTGCTGCCTGTTTGCCACTGTCTGCTATGGCCTGGGGGACTTTGGGGATCCTGGGTCACACCGTGTCACCGGGACATAGGGGAAAACAGCCCACTGGGGATGGAAGAATGGGCTTCTTGAGCCACAGTCATCCTAGTGTCTAAGGGCTGGAGGATCCCTGGGGCTGCAGGAGCATGAGGGTTCTTAGGGGCAGATGTGTGCTTTGGGCAGGGGGTAGAACCTACAGGTGGGCTGGGGACAGGCAGATGTGGGGTGGCAGGACACAATTAATTGGGTTTAGGGGAGAAGTTTGAAGCTCAGCAGCAGCTGAATGTCTGGGAGAGGGAGAGCCAGGGACTGGGGATTGAGTGGCTAGCACAGACACTGCTTTCATCACAAAAGGGGTTTTCCCCATTGGTGCAGTGAATCCACCTCTGGGGGAGGCCATAGCTAGATGGACAGAATTCTTCCATTGGACCATCTATAGGGCCCTACCAATTTCATGGGCTATTTTGGTCAGTTTCATGGTCATGGGATTTTTAAAATGGTAATTTCGTGATACCAGATAGCTTAAGCTGAAATGTCCTGGTGTAATTGTAGGGTCCCACTTCCAAAAGGAACTGTGTGGAGGGGCGAGGGGTCACAGAGGTGACTGCAGAGGGGGCTGCAGCACGGCTAGGCTTGCCAGATGCTTTCACCAAAAATCTCAAATATGGCAGGAAAAAAACTTGGTTGAGCAAAAAAAAAAAAGAGAGAGAGAGAGAGAGAGAGAGAGAACACAAAAAAAGGTTGCTGTGCCTTTAAGAATCCCTGCAGTCCTCGCTTCCCTCCTCCCCCCCATGCCAGATGCAGCAGGGAAACAATGTCCCTGCCAGCTTTCCATGGGAGAAAAACAGAAAATACCAGACATGTATTTTCGGGGGGGAGTGGGGAGTTACCAGACAGGGGCCAGAAATAACAGACTGTCTGGGCAAAAACCAGACACCTGGCAACCCTAAGCATGGCTACCCTTACTGCTGCATTGCTGTTTGTGGCGGCTGCCTTCAGAGCAGGGCACAGGAGAGCAGTGGCTGCTGCCGGCTCCTCCCAGCTCTGCAGGAGGGAGAGGGGTGCAGGGGCTCTTGTACATTTCAAATATTGAAATGCCGTGTGGAGCCGGGCCGAGGGACACCCAATAGTGTGACAGGGCAGCACTCGGTGCCGGGGCTGTGAGTTCCTGCCTCACCCGGAGCCCTGGCTCCCACTCGCCCAGCGCTGCTGCCTTCATGCAGCCTCACAGCAGCTGAGCAATGAAAACACTCCGTCACTGCCCAGCACCTTGCCAGAGTGTGGGCTTGTGACGCCTAAAGCTTCAGAAAGAGGTGAAGGTGGTGCTTCAAAGCAGCAGTGCCATGTGGAGGCTGGGGCCAGACCTTGGGCTCCATGCAGTGCTGCCGCTCTGAAACACCACAGGGAGCTCGGGGCCAGCAGAGAACTGCTCCCTTTGGCCCTGTGCTCCCCGCAGCACTTTCACCCTGGGGCTCTTGCTACAGTTCAAAGGTGGAAGCTAATCAAATAGTGGATGTATCCGCTCTTTGATTAGCCAAATAATCAAAATTTTACATCCCTGCGCAGTAATTGTTTAACAGGAACTTAATCTTAGTTATGCTCAATTCTGACTGGTTACCTTTGAGTTCACTTGAATATGAGCAAATTTACCAGGAATCCAGCATTCAACATCGGGAAATAGGGTCACCCTAGCCCTCAGGGTTTTTCACATCATCAGCCACTTGGGTAAATTTTCCTTCCTGAATATTCACTTCAGGCCAGATGATTAAAGGTGAAAGCGCTGAGATACTTTTGAAAATGATTTTGTACTTGAAATCTTATAGAAATATATTTAAGTAACTCCCCATTCTGCAAGCACAGAAGTGCTCACTTTTATTTTCTATTACTTTATTTATTGCATATATAAATATTCAGAATTTTACTCGGAGTTTTAATCACATATTTCATCTTCATAGTTTCTCTGTGTGCTACATCTGTTGTTACAGTACATTCCAATGGTGCTCTTCACTCTGCCAATCCTACTGTTCTGTATTGCCAAAACCCAGGCTACAGCCAAGGCCGGATTAAGCAGGGGGCTAGCCGGGCAGCTGCCTGGGGCGCCAACCTATGGGGGGCACCTGATGGCAGCTGTAAGCGGCACCGGCCGTGCGGTGCCCCTTAGAGCTGCCCTCAGGCACCACACGCCCGGGACCAGGGGCTGCGTGGTGCCCCTTAGAGCTGCCATTGGGCACTGCACGCCCGATGGCAGCTATAAGGTGCGCAGCGCACCGGTAGGCAAAGCCGTGCATGTGCCATGTGTCCAGGCGCGGAGCCGTGCATGCATCGCGCACCCGCTGCCTGGTGCTCAGGAATGGCTCGAGCCGGCCCTGGCTATGGCTACAGTGCTCGTTTTGCTGGAAGAGGCAATGCAAATGAAGCATGGATTAGCATTTTCTCGTATTTCATTTTCATAATCTCTTCCAAACCATTTTTGCGCAAAAACAAGCAGGCTGTGTTGGTGCTCAGGAATGGCTCGAGCCGGCCCTGGCTATGGCTACAGTGCTCGTTTTGCTGGAAGAGGCAATGCAAATGAAGCATGGATTAGCATTTTCTCGTATTTCATTTTCATAATCTCTTCCAAACCATTTTTGCGCAAAAACAAGCAGGCTGTGTCTAGACTGGCCAGTTTTTCTGCAAAATCAGCTGCTTTTGTGGAAAAACTTGCCAGCTCTCTACACTGCCCGCTTGAATTTGCGCAAGAACACTGACGATCTCATGTAAGATTGTCCGTGTTCTTGCGGAAATACTGTGCTGCTCCTGTTCAGGCAAAAGCCCTCTTGCACAAATCATTTGCGCAAGAGGGCCAGTGTAGACAGCACAGTACTGTTTTGTGCAAAAAAGCCCCGATGGCTAAAATGGCGATCAGGGCTTTTTTGCGCAAAAGCGCGTCTAGATTGGCCAGGGACAGTTTCAGCAAAAAGTGCTTTTGCAGAAAAGCATCCGTGCCAATCTAGATGCTCTTTTCCGAAAATGCTTTTAACGGAAAATCATGCCAGTCTAGACGTAGCCGCAGTGTGAACGTTTCCTTTTTGTGCAAAAACCCCTTTTTGCACAAGATCCTTCTGTCTCTCCCGGGACCAGAAGACATTATGCATATGAAGTGTGAGAAAATGCTAATCTGTGCTTCATTTGCATTGCCTCTTCCTGCAAAACCTGTAGTGTAGCCATAGCCCTAGGGTTTTTAAAATAAATTCTCTTGGACTACGTCTATACTACAGGCTTCTTGCACAAGAACTGTTTTGTGCAAGAATTCTTGTGCAAAAGGTCTTCCACAAGAGTGCGTCTAAACTGCCATTTGGTTTTGTGGAAGAGATGTACTTTTGCACAAGAGCATCCATGGCTGTGTGGACGCTCTCTTGCGCAAGAAAGCTCCCATGGCCATTTTTGCCCTTCTGTCTCTCCCGGGACCAGAAGACATTATGCATATGAAGTGTGAGAAAATGCTAATCTGTGCTTCATTTGCATTGCCTCTTCCTGCAAAACCTGTAGTGTAGCCATAGCCCTAGGGTTTTTAAAATAAATTCTCTTGGACTACGTCTATACTACAGGCTTCTTGCACAAGAACTGTTTTGTGCAAGAATTCTTGTGCAAAAGGTCTTCCACAAGAGTGCGTCTAAACTGCCATTTGCTTTTGTGGAAGAGATGTACTTTTGCGCAAGAGCGTCCATGGCAGTGTGGACGCTCTCTTGCGCAAGAAAGCTCCAATGGCCATTTTAGCCATAGGGGTTTCTTGCACAAGAAATTCATGTTGCCTGTCTATACTGCCTTCTTCTGGAAGAGGTCTTGCATAGGAGAGCTTATTCCTTGTGGGGGAGAAATAACTCTTCCGGAAGAAGCCCTGTTTTCCAACGCTATACTGTAAATTTACTTGTGCAAGAACATGCGGGCAGTGTAAACACCCGGCAAGTTTTTGCACAAGAACAGCTGTTCTTGCACAAGAAGCCACCAGTGTAGATGTAGCCTTAGGGTGTGGGGTTTTTTTCTTTCTTTCTTTTTTTTTTCTTTTTTTTTTTAAGGGTCTGGGGCAGTGGTCTCCAGCTTTTTTAAGCATGAGATCACTCTTTGAATTTAAGTGCAATCCAGGATCTACTTGAAACCCAAACCACCTTGCCCTGCTTCCTTCCTGCCACTTCTCTGAGGCCTGGACTCTGCTCATGCCATCCTCCCTCCCCTATCCTCACTCACTTTTATCAGGCTGGAGACAGAGGTTTGGAGTGTGGGGGGAGGGGATGCAGATACT